AATAAATCCAGGAGCTGGTTTTTTGAAAAGATTAACAAAATAGACAGAGTGCTAGCCAGATTAATAAAAAAGAAAAGAGAGAAGAATCAAATAGATGCAATACAAAACGATAAAGGGGATATCACCACCGATCCCACAGAAATACAAACTACCATCAGAGATTACAACAAGCAACTCTATGCACATAAACCAGTAAACCTGGAAGAAATGGATAAATTCCTGGACACTTGCAACCCTCCCAAGCCTAAACCAGGAAGAAGTCGAAACCCTGAATAGACCAATAACCAGGGCTAAAGTTGAAGCAGAAATTAATAGTCTACCAACCAAAAAAAGCCCAGGTTGATATAGGTTCACAGCCGAATTCTACCAGACATACAAAGAGGAGCTGGTACCACTCCTTCTGAAACTATTCCAAACAATCCAAAAAGAGGAAATCCTCCCTAACTTATCTTATGAGACCAACATCATCCTGATACCAAAACCCAGTAGAGGCTCAACAAGAAAAGAAAACTTCAAGCCAATATCCATGATGAACATAGATGCAAAAATCTTCAATAAAATACTGGCAAACCAATTGTAACAGCACAACAAAAAGCTTATCCATCATGATCAGGTAGGCTTCATCCTGGGGATGCAAGGCCATTCAACATACGCAAGTTTGTAAATGTTATCTACCACATAAACAGAACCAAAGACAAAAACCACATGATTATCTCAATAGATGCAGAGAAGGCCTTCGACAAAATTCAACAGCCCTTTCTGCTAAAAACTCTCAATAAACTAGGTATCGACGAAATGTATCTCAAAATAATAAAAGCTATTCACAACAAACCAACAGCCAATATCATACTGAATGGGCAAAAACTGAAAGCATTCCCTTTGAAATCTGACACTAGACAAGGATGCCCTCTCTCACCACTCCTATTCAATACAGTATTGGAAGTTCTAGCCAGAGCAATCAGGCAAGACAAAGAAATAAAGGGTATTCAATCAGGAAAGGAGGAAGTCAAATTGTCTCTATCTGCAGATGACATGATTGTATATTTAGAAGACCTCATCATCTCAGCCCCAAATCTCCTGAAACTGATAAGCAACTTCAGCAAAGTCTTAGGATACAAAGTTAATGTGCAGAAATCACAAGCATTCCTATACACCAATAACAGACTTAAAGAGTGCCAAATCAAGCACAAACTGTCATTCACAATTGCTACAAAGATAATAAAATGCCTAGGAATACAACAAACAAAGGATGTAAAGGACCTCTTCAAGGAGAACTACAAACCACTGCTCAAGGAAATAAGAGAGGATACAAACAGATGGAAAAACATTCCATGCTCATGGTTAGGAAGGACATAAACAGATGGAAAAACATTCCACGCTCATGGTGAAAGTGGTCATACTGCCCAAAGTAATTTACAGATTCAACACTATCCCCATCAAGCTACCTATGACCCTCTTCACAGAACTGGAAAAAACCACCTTAAACTTCATGTGGAACCCAAAGAGAGCCCGCAGAACCAAGTCAATTCTAAGCAAAAAGAACAAAGCTGGAGGCATTATGCTACCTGAGTTCAAACTACACTACAAGGCTACAGTAATCAAAACAGTATGGTACTGGTACCAAAACAGAGGTATAGACCAATGGAACAGAACAGAGGGGTTGGAGGCAATGCCACACATCTACAACCACCTGATCTTTGACAAACCCGACAAAAACAAGCAATGGGGAAATGATTCCCTGTTTAATAAATGGTGTTGGGAAACTAGCCAGCCATGTGCAGAAAGCAGAAACTGGATCCCTCCCTGACACCTTACACTAAAATTAACTCCAGATGGATTAAAGACTTAAACATAAGACCTAACACCATAAAAAACATAGAAGAAAACCTAGGCTAAAGCATTCAGGACATAGGCATAAGCAAGGACTTCATGACTAAAACACCAAAAGCATTGGCAATAAAAGCCAAAATAGACAAATGGGATCTAATTAAACTCCAGGGCTTCTGCACAGCAAAAGAAACAATCATTAGAGTGAGCAAGCAACCAACAGAATGTGAAAAATTTTTTGCAATCTACCCATCTAACAAAGGGCTGATATCCAGAATCTATGAAGAACTAAAACAGATTTACAAGAAACAAACAAACAAACCCATTCAAAAGTGGGCAAAGGATATGAACAGACACTTTTCAAAAGAAGACATTTATGAGGCCAACAAACATATGAACAAATGCTCATCATCACTGGTCATTAGAGAAATGCAAATTAAAAGCACATTGAGATACCATCTGACACCAGTTAGAATGGCGATCATTAAAAATTTTGGAGACAACAGATGCTGGAGAGGATGTGGACAAACAGGAACACTTTTACACTGTTGGTGGGAGTGTAAATTAGTTCAACCATTGTGGAAGACAGTGTGGCGCTTCCTCAAGGACCTAGAAATAGAAATTCCATTTGACCCAGCAATCCCATTACTGGGCATATGTCCAAAGAATTATAATTTGTTCTATTATAAAGACACATGCACAGGAATGTTCATTGAGGCACTGTTTACAATAGCAAAGACCTGGAACCAACCCAAATGCCCACCAATGATAGGCTGTACGGGGAAAATGTGGCACATATACACCATGGAATATTATGCAGCCATAAACAACGAGTTTATGTCCTTTGTGGGGACATGGATGAACCTGGAAACCATCACAGTTTAGTCCCAAACCCAGAGGAAAACATTTCAAATTTCTTAACTAAATCCTTAAAAGGATAATTTACACCACAGCAATTAACCTGGCATTTAAATAAACTGCAGCTTGAGAAGAAAAAAAAAAAGACCACTATTATGTATTTTTTCTCTGAACATTTCCTTTACATGTTTTGCAGGAAATGTACTTTTTGGTTTGTAAGGATGAGAGGCTGTAACAGTAACATACTTCCAGGGCTTTCTTGTGACCAATCGATGTGGAATGCAATTGCAATGAATGGTCCAAGATGTTTTTTTACCTTTTCATCATTAACACCCCTCTTCCCCAGAGTTGGAACTCCAGTTTAAATTTCTCCTCCTACATCCCATGGGCTAGTGGGTAACATGGACTGCTAGTCTAAATACATTTACCCTAGATTAGTTACATGAAAGACATTATCATCCTTGTCTTTCTCTTATCACTGTGGTCTGGAAGAAGTAGTTGATCAAAAAAACTATCTGTAGTGTCATGATTATTTTGTTTACAAGATTTCTTGCTCTGCAGTCAAAGCTCATTTTAAAACTCTTTCACTGCTAATTCCAAATGGCTAAGAGGTAGAAAAGGTGATAGCCGCAGTGGCCATAGTGGCCCTGAGTAAGCTGCCATAGCCAGGTTGCCAGCATGGCTCTGATATAGCAGTTAAGAAGAAATTATTTAGGCAGATAGTGAGTCCTTGGTAAGGTTTTCCTTTAATGAAAAGCCGTCCCCAAATCATTTTCTGTTCTAACAAAGTACAGCCTGTAAAACAGAGCTGCAGACATAAGCAAGCAAGGTAGAAGCTTGCACAGGTAAATGCCAGCACTGTGCCAGTAGGAAAAGGCTACCTGGGACTAGGCATGTTGAAACAGCAGCTCCATCTTCCCTTCCTTCCAGCCCACATGTATAGTAAGAAGCAGACAATATGGCAGCAGCCAAGTGGAAAGTCCGCTTGCATAATAGAGGGGGGTGGCCAGCATTCTCCATGCATTACGTAAAACATCACATCTGCTCCAACCAATTTGTGGGCCCTATGTAAATCAGACGCCATCTCCTCAAGCCTGTTTGTAAAATCCAGTACACTTCTGTAGCCAGTCCAAATTCCCATTCAGGTGCCTCTCTCTTCTCTCTCACAGATATTCTCCTTTCTCTTTCTTTTGCCTATTAAGCCTCTACTCCTAAACCCACTCCTTTGTTTGTCATAAGAAAACAATCCATTCTGCATGAAAAATGGTAAGAGCAATTAGGAACATCTTATAAAGGACCTAATACCACTAATCCATTTTGAAGGATACACAGGAATTTGTAAGGTGGTCAATGACACAAAAAATGTCTCAGGTAGGAATGATGTGCTGTGGTTCCTAACACCTGTTCTCCAATAAACTATGCATCTTCTTCATTATCATCATTGTAGTTGTCTGTCATCATCACAACAGCCAACATTTGTTGATAGCTCACTCTGTGTCAGTATGATGGTCACTGCTGGCTGGCTAAGTTAGCACCATACCTAGCCCACTTCTCTTTTGCTTGTTTTCATTACTAGAAAAGTAAACACTAGTTTTTCTAGCTTCCCTTGTAGCCTAAGGTGGCCACATGGCAAAATCCTCACCAATGAGATAGAAACCAGTCTGCTAAAATGTTCCAAGAAGGCTTAAGTAAGGATGAATGTGGTTGGTACTATCCTTCCTGCCTCTTTTGGCTTTTAAAACAGTTAAGAAGTGAGAAAAATGAACTCCTGTTTAGGGCCCTGCAAGTCTGTTATGATATTACTTAAAGCCAAACCAGTCCTATGTAATAAAGTCATGCAGTAGTGTAAGCACTTTACAAGTACTAACACAACTAGAATCATTTGAGGTCTATAGATAATTTAAGAGACCACTTGTCAAACCAGTGATCAATTGTGTTCTATTGGCTACAGGATTCTGGTAATGTTCCAACGGTCTAACACTGACTCAGTCTTCACAGCTTTTAAGCAAAACTAAATAAAAGAAACAGAATAATTAACTCACAGCCTTTATTCTTTATCCTATGAAGAAAACCATAGTACCTGTGCAGAAATTCTGAAATATATTATGAAATAAGTAGAAGATAGGTCAGTAAAGACTGGCTAGAATCACAGACTAAATGCTCATATAGCTGACAATATAAAAATGGAAGAACTCAGACTGCTTTAATAATCAAAAAAGCACAAATTACCATTTCCTTTTTTATATGAAAATTAAAGATCCAAAGTCAGAAACAGTGATATGAGTTGGGTAAAAAAATAAAAAATTCAAACAAACCTTTTGATTTTCCTGTATTTCTTCTCTCATATGTTGATTTACAGCAATTCTGGTTAGAGATCTGGAAAAATGAATACTAATATAATTGATCCTTCATTAAATGTTTAGAACTGAGCTATATAATTCAATGTAATCTAACACTTTGGATAAGAAGCTCAAAACTCCAAATCCTTCATGACTGAAAAGTGTACATTTCCATATGGCCTAATTTAGCTTTCATTTGACAAGAGTATTTGGTTCAAGTGGAATGGAGGCTCCCAAAATTTCATGTGTACTAACTGTATACAGTATGGACTGTCATCATTTACTACTTATTTTTTGAAAACCCTTGATTGAGAGAGCTATTTTGTGTTGTTTTGTCCAACAGAAATTTTGTATGAAATTACCAATGTATGTGTACATTAATGTATGTACATGAAGAATATTAGTTAACCTGGGATCTTACCAGAGTAGAAACTTCTAAAAGTTGAAATGATGGCTTCACATTACTTACTCTTTCAATTTTTTTTCAACTTTTTATTTAAAAAAAGTTTTTAGAGACAGAGTCTCACTCTATTACCTAGGCAGGACTACAGTAGCATGATCACAGCTCATCGTAGCCTCGGATTCCTGGGCTCAAGTGATTCTCCCACCTCAGCCTCCCAAGGAGCTAGGGCTAGAGGTACACACCACCATACCCAGATAATTTTTAAATTTTTTTCTAGAGATGGAGTCTTGCTATGTTGCCCAGGTTGGTCTAAAACTCCTGGCCTTAAGTGATCCTCCAACCCCAACCTCCCAAAGTGATGAAATTGTAGGTGTGAGCCACTGCACCCATCCTATTCACTCTTGAAGAGTTTATAATTCACTTATAATTTAAAGACAGCAGAAATGTTTAAAATACAGTTGCTATGGACTGTATTCAACTTGATAATTCCTAAACATGGCTAGTTATATATCTGTCAATTTTATAAATAGAATTAAAAAATTAAAAGACTGTTAATCAAAAGCTCTGCTTTAAGGAAAACTCAAGTAGAAAACGGTACCTTAAACAGCACACAGTAAGTATATATTATTTTGAAAAATTTGGCATTAACAGAAATTACAATTAAAAATTTAATAATACAAATTTTTCATTTATTTAGCAAATATTTCATTTCAACAAACATTTACAGATTATCTACCAAACGATTTTGGAGATATGCTCAAGCCTACTATTTATCCATTAAGCAATATTAGCATATTTTATAAATTTTTCTTAAACAGATTAACAGCAGTTTTCTATCAGAACCTCTCAACAATTAGGCTGACTTAACATCAATAGAGCTAAACAACTGTCTGATCAAGATTAAAGTTATTTTATTTTATTTGAATTTGATCTAATAATTTTTATAATTGCCATTAATTAAAAGCATTATGGCTAAACATATATGACATTTATACACACTCATATATATTTCATGTTTTATTATATAAATGCTGACTTCTCAAATTCTTGGCTACTGAAATTAAAGTTGACTGAAAGAGGCATATCAATATATTCATTCTTAATCTGTAAATAAGGGGCCAAGCTCCTCTATTTCAAGATACCACCAAAAGATTCTTGGTATCTCGTGGCCAACCATGTACTATTTATTTCCTTTCAAAATTAAAGAATACATATATTGAAGATTCTGTAATTTGTACTATGAACAAATGTACAAAATAGTGTTTGAGACAATAAAAGGCACAGCAATCATTCTATGCTTAAGAAGGTATGCTGAGACAGAAGACTGCTCTCCCATTCCTCTCAATAAAACACCCTTGTTGCACATGCACTGTGACTTGTCACATATTTTATCTCCTCAGTATAAGCTAACTCATATTTTCCTTGTTGCTAATTTTATACTCTATCATTCCTAATCAGAATACAATTGCATCAAAGTTGTGTTATTTTGTAAATTCTCATAAAACATGGTCAACTTGCATTGCATGCACTGGCCTCTTTTAAGATATGCAAATGTTATTTCCTATTGAAATGGAATGTATGTTTAATGTAACATCAGCATATTCATGGAAACAGTTCAACTAGACATTCTCTTGGCAAAAAGTATCCACACAATAGTCCATGCAATTAAGACATAACAAATCATTGGAATCTGAAAGGGTAAGAATATGATTTGGCAGTACTTTGGGCATAGATCTCCTACTTAGAATAATACTTTTTATTATCCTCCACAAGGGAAAGAAAAAATCCTCCTTCATTATTTATTGCTTAAACAAGTTTTTCCTTAGATTACTATGTATGATTTTAGAAAAGTTTTTATAAATTTATCTTTCTATTTGCCTCTAATAAGAGTTCCACCTTATAGTGCATACACACATGCACGTACAAGCCAATATTTTGCTCTAATAAAAAAATCCATATATAATGAAGACAGGCCCTAATTTCGTAAAAGCTATATATACGAGAAATAACTGACATCTTCATGTTAAATGAAATCAACTATTTTCACAAAACTCATTTAATAGAGTTCTGGCTACAATGAAACCAATAAACTTTAACATACCTGGCTTTTACGGGGAAGTTCTGTGAAATGTCTTTCATTAATTTAATGGCATCATAAACTGGAGTGGACATTATTTGAGAAGCTGCTTGAAAACTAAGATCTGAAAGGAAAAATATTATTAAGGAATCTAGCATAATGTTAGACCTTTATAGACATTTCCATGAAATTGAAATAACTGACTCAATCCTTCTTGCCAAATATTAATATACAAACATGTTGACAGTGTTACATCTGCATTTTTAAAAAGCTTTAAACGGAAAGTTATCACTTACTTCCAAATAATGTAAGCTTTATACTGTCATCAATGAGTGATTGTTATTTAATTCCTATTATTTATTTTCCACAAATTATAGTATAATTTCAAGAGATATATGAAGAGAAATGCTCTCACAAAGCTACTTTTTCTATACTTAAATGAAACATGACAAAAAGTCTTAATAAAAAGAATAACAAAGTGGTGTAAAAAGAACTTTAAAGAGCCAATTCTGAAAAGAACTTTAAGAAAATCCCACTGTGTTTAACTCAGTAAATAGAAACATTTGCTTTCTCTTTCAATTTGACATTCTTTTACTTTTATGCTGAAATAAAATCCTAAACTTAGTTTTATTTTACCTGATATGACAGTCCTATAGAAAGAAAAATGTGTGTCGTTAACTGTAGTTAGTTTCAAACATGTCAGAAGAATTAATCTTAGTATTATTACTTTGTCAAGAGTCAGAAAAGATTTAAAACTAAATTATTTCCTTACCTAATAGTGAGGCAGATTGTTTCTCCTTAATATTTCCTTCAAGGTGGAATCCTAATTTATCCAATACTACTAAAATAACTAGTTTAACACAGAAAGGCTAGTTTTATTCCTGCATTCTCAGTGTGAAATGATGGGTCAAAGCCTATAAAAGAATGATCTTAAGGTAGCCTGGCATGGAATGGCAGAGTCTGGCAGACCAGGTGATATGGTTTGGCTGTTAAATCTCATCTTGAATTGTAGCTCCCATAATTACCACGTGTTGTAGGAAGGATCCACTGGGAGATAAATGAATCTTGGAGGCAGTTTCCCCAATACTGTTCTCATAGTAGTGAATAAGTCTCATGAGATCTGATGGTTTTATAACGGGTTTCCCTTTTCACTTGGCTCTGATTCTCTCTTGCCTGCCATCATGTCAAATGTGCTTTTTGCCTTCTGCCATGATTGTGAAGTCTCCCTAGCCACGTGGAACTGTGAGTCCATTAAGCTTCTTTTTCTTTATAAATTACCCAGTTTAGGGTATGTCCTTATCAGCAGTGTGAAAACAGACTAATACAGTAAATTGGTACCAGTAAAGTGGGGGCACTGCTGTAAAGATACCTGAAAATGATTAAGGAACTTGGGGACTGGGTAATAGGCAGTGGTTGGAACAGTTTGGAGGGCTCAGAAGACAGGAAGATGTGGGAAAGTTTGGAACTTCATAGAGACTTGCTGAATGGCTTTGACCAAAATTCTCATACAATGATATGGACAATGAAATCCATAATGAGGTGGTCTCAGATGGAGATGAGAAACTTGTTGGGAACTGGAGTAAAGGTGACTCATGCCATGTTTTAGCAAAAAGTCTGGCAGCATTTTGCCCCTGCCCTAGAGATTTGTGGAATTTTGAACTTGAGGGAGCTGATTTAGGGTATCTGGCAGAAGAAATTTCTAAGCAGCAAAGCATACAAGAAGTGACATGGGTGCTGTTGAAAACATTCAGCTTTAAAAGGGAAACAGCATAAAAGTTCAGAAAATTGCAGCCTGATGATGCAACAGAAAAGACAAACCCATTTTCTGAGGAGAAACTCAAGCCAGCTGCAAAAATTTGCATAAATAAGGAGCAAATGTTAATCACCAAGACATTGGGGAAAACATCTCCAGGGCATGTCAGAGACCTTCACACCAGTCCCTCCCATCACAGACTCGGAGGCCTAGGAGAAAAAAAAGTTTTGTGGGTCAGTCCCAGGGGCCTTCTGCTGTGTACAGCCTAGGGAGTTAGTGTCCTGAGTCCCAGCGGCTCTAGTCATGGTTAAAAGAGGCCAAGGTACAGCTTGGGCTGTGGCTTCAGAAGATGCAAGCCCCAAGCCTTGACAGCTTCCATATGGTGTTAAGCCTGTGGATGCATGGAAGTCAAGTATGAGGGTTGGGAACCTCTGCCTAGAATTTCAGAGGCTGTATGGAAATGCCTAGATGTTCAGACAAAAGTGCAAGGGTGGGGCACTCATGAAGAACCTCTGCAAGGCAGTGCAGAAGGGAAATGTGGGATTAGATTGCCCACACAGAGACCCCACTAGGGCACTGCCTAGTGGAGCTGTGAGAAGAGGGCCACTGTCCTCCAGACCCCAGAATGGTAGATCCACTGAGAGCTTGCGCTTTATGCCTGAAAAACTGTAGACACTCAATGCCACCATGAAAGCAGCCAGGAGGGAGGCTGTACCCTGCAAAGCCATGGGAGAGAGCTGCCCAAGACCATGGGAACCTACCTCTTGCATTGGCACTCCCTGGATATGAGATATGGAATCAAAGGAGATCATTTTGGAGCTTTAAGATTTGACTACTCCACTGGATTTTAGACTTGCACAGGCCCTTTAGCCCCTTCATTTTGGCCAATTTCTCCCATTTGAAATGGCTATATTTATCCAATGCCTGTACCCCCATTGTGTCTAGGAAGTAACTAACTTGCTTTTGATTTTACAGGCTCATAGGTGGAAGGGACTTCTCTTGTCTCAGATGAGACTTCAGACTGTGGACTTCTGAGTTAATGCTGAAATGAGTTAAGACTTTGGGGGATTGTAGGGATGACATGACTGGTTTTGAAATGTGAGGACATGAGATTTAGGAGGGGCCAGGCCCAGAATGATATGGTTTGGCTGTGTCCTCATCCAAATATCATCTTGAATTGTAGCTCCCATAATTCCCACGTTATGGGAGGGACCCAGTGGGAGATAAATGAATCATGGTGGGGGGCGGTTTACCCAATACTGTTCTCATGGTAGTGAATAAGTCTCACAAGATCTGATGGTTTTATAAAGGGTTTCCCTCTTCATTTGGCTCTCATTCTCTCTTGCCTGCTGCCATGTAAGACATGCCTTTTACATTTTATCATGATTGTTAGGCCTTCCCAACCATGTGAAACTGTGAGTACATTAAACTTCTTTTTCTTCATAAATTACCAGTCTTTAGCATGTCTTTCTTAGCAAAGTGAAAATAGGCCAAGACCCCAGCCTTCAAATTCTATCTGCATCACAAACTAGCTAAGTAACTTTAAATAGAATGTGTTCAACCTACCTCAACATGTTTCCAGTCCCCAGTACTGCAGTGAAACTACTACCTGTGCTAATATCTCCTGATTGCCAAACGCAACATTTTTTAGTACTTATTTTACTTACTAGGTTCTTTTTGCAATAGGATAATTTCCTGCAAATAAGTAGTACTGATCATTTTTTCTTTCTTAAGAATCTATTTCCTTCAGCTTGTATAATGTCCTTTCCATTTCTCATCATTCCACCATGTCTTCTTCATGAGTTTTACTTTCTGCATGTGGATGAACACCAGGGCACTCTCCCTGGTGCACTGATTTTGTCATTCTGCATTCTCAGTCACGATCCTCATTCTATACTCTCAGTCAGCACACCTTCCTTTTCAACATCTTTATGCTAGGATTTTTCAACTTTTAAAATCCTCGCTGTTCAGCTTAAGGACAGGATATTTACCCCATCACTGAACCTAACCATTTGGATATCTTAGAGTGACTTTAAGTCAACCTTTCAACACTAGTTTCATTATTTCTGAGTCCCATATTTAGCCCCAAAGCCTGCTTACATGTTTTATAGATTCTCTCTACTCAGGCTCAAGCTAGAAATCCTAGAATCATCTTTGAGTCCTTTTCACAGTCTAAATATCTATATGCCTTCTACCACAGTCAGAGTTCAATCTCTCATTACACTCTATTACACGATTTCAATAAGGTCTAAATAGATTTCCTACTTTTAGCAAATTCAAATACATCTTACAGACATTGGGAGTCAATTAAAACTAAGCTAACTATGCATACTCTTTGCTTAAAGGCCTTCAAAAGCACACCATCACTTACAATTTTCTAAATTATGCAAGGGACCCTTAGAGAACATTTTGGAGGCTTAAAACATAACAATTACAATTTTTAAAAAGTGCTAAAATAGAGACATTAAAAAAGGATTTAAAAAATAATTGAAGATACTAGAAAGAGAGTATCTGAAATTATGGATTTGGGAATCTAAGCTGTATTGGAACTTAGAGAAGAGCTTCACAAACCATGATAAGGAGTTTGAACTTATCCTTTTAATTGATGTGCATGAAATCAGTCCTTTATGATGCAAATGCCTTGGCTAGCTAGTCCTATCAACCCCTTCTTACATTCAAGTCTCTCTGGAAGTATTTGCTTTGGAAAAACAGATAAAACTTTCTCACATAAGAGGACTCCATACTTTCTTTGCCCTCCACATCCACTCTATCCTGCTCCAGACCCCCAAAAGGCTGGCCTATCTGAACTTCATCAATAAGCCCCCTTGCCCTCAGATATCTAGTTAGATTCCACCAATCCAAGTCACTAATATGGGATCAGTAAGCAAAAAAAGAGTAAGGACTGGATAGTTACTACCCAGATCCCTCCTTGTTGAGTCACAGTGGGCAGTCCCTAAGGGAATACTGTTGTGTCAAGCAGCTGTCTCCACATACTCTCAGGTTTTGGTAACCCCTCCCTCCTCTTCCTCCCTCAAGATTAGGGGTAGAAAATGTTTCCCTCTAGTTGCTAATACTGGAATGGAAAAATCCATTCCTTGCTGGTTTCCCTCAATCATGCCATCTTTGTAAAAAGTCCCTTCATTTAACTTTTTTAGTTTGTGAGTGCCAACATTTTCCTGTGAGGACTAATGTAAGACCATTATTTTATTAGGGATGTACAAGTGATAAAGTCTGGGTGATTTTACACAAGGCCAAAATCAGATTTTCATTTTAGAAAGATTATCTTAATAACCTTTTTGAGAATGAATTTGAACCTACTGCCTCAGTTTAGTGTTATCATGATGTCAAGTGGAAGAACAGTCACAATGGCTGTGGTATAATGAAAGGAGGTCCAACCATGAGGTCTAGATGAGACAAAAGACACAATGAACAGGAAACTGTAGACCAGAGGGGTCCAGAAAGAATAGATTCTATCAGTTCAAAGAGGCAGATTCTTTACAGTGAATCTATCACAATGGTCTTAATATCTCATTCTGTTGAATGATTTTTCGATTGATATATTGACTTTCTCATGATATAAGGCTTAGTTGATAGAACATTTATATTAGGTAGGCGAAGAATACCGGAAGTTATAGAACTTAACAGGTTGAGTCTTGCACATTCTGCTGTAATTTTAAAATGTAGTATTCAATCATCTGTTAAGTGTATATAAAGCTTACCTAGATATCATACAGTACAGTATAAATAATTTCACTTGGACCAAAATCTTCACTTATTAGCTGTGTGGTAACTGGCAATTAAATACAGTTTATATGAAAGGACTTTAAATATATATAAAGGTAGTTTATATGAAAGGATCCTATAAATTATAATTCAGATGAAATATAAAACATTATTTGTATGTTATAAGTAAGTTTTGCTGGCAAGAGCAGCCTGTAAATATCCTTTTAGTTGTCATTTTAAAAAAAGAAAGTAGATTGGTGTTTGCCTACACAACTGGGGAGTTAGGAAATGGGGAGTGACTGCTAATGACAATGTTAGTTTCTTTTTAGGATGATGAGAATTTTCTAAAATCAACTGTGGTAAGAGTTGCAGTATTCTGAAAATATGCTAAAAACTATTGAATGGCAGAATTTAAAAACGCTAATTGAATAGTATGTGAATGTATTACTATGAATAGTATAATCATAGTAATGTCAAAATTTATTATTTACATCACTAACATTATTTATAAAATAATCTATCATGTGAGATATAAAAGCTTATTAAACAAAACAGACATCATCTGCTTTTTAAAATGTAACAACTTATTAAGCTATTATATTTTAAAAAGTTGTTATATTATTAAAAGCTGATAAAAGATACAAGTTACAGATTATGCAGAAAGATGACATGTCCCCATGAGCTACTAAATCATTACAAATAAAGAAGAAAAATTACAAGTTGAAAAGGACTTAAAAGCTCCAACCAAATCAAATTTTGTTCACAAAATATCTGCTTGTAGGCTTTCGGCACAGAAGCTGTTCCTAACTTTGTAAAACTGCATGTCCTCCATTTGATGTTTTCATTAAAGATTTATCAATGAAACATGCAATAGTCTTAACAGGATCTAAATTTCAAAGAGAAGAAAACTAAGATTGAATTTCATTTTCTCCTTACTGAGGAGTTAGGATTTTTAATCAGTTATAGTGTCTCCAAAAATGTAATTTAATACTTGAGACTAACCTATAAATCAGTATATACTTTTAAAATAACATCAAATAACCTTACTTCATATAATTTTAAGTCTTGCAAACATAAAAATATAGCTTGATAGATGATCTATTAAATACATAATACCACAAAAATAAAATCATAATCTATATTATGCACATCACTAGTAATTAACACTGTCCATAAAATAATCTGTATCATGTAATATGTAAAAGCTTATTTAAGTCATAGATCAGTTGCCAAAATGCTGTGTTAAAGAAGCTCAAAATACTGTACCTTGTAGTTCCCAGACTTTCAGAGGCGTCATTTGTTTATTACTTTCAATCAGGTATTTTTGGAAGGCTGTCAGATTATCTCTAAGATCCGAATATATTTCTCTGCATCAAAATATTAAGTGATGTTAAATAGCATGACCTATCACAAGCCATTATACACACAGCATTTTTTTTCAAATTATACATTCCAAGTAATTAGACACAAACGAATCATTCATCATTAAGATAATCATAAACAGTGATACAGCTATATTCACAGAACTTAATGAGGAGGATATATAGGTCTCTTATTAAATATATGAAACAAAACAAAATCTGGAGGAATATACTCTCAATTGTTAGTGTGACCCATAAGCGATGCAAGGATGAGGGCAGAATTATGTTTTCCTATTATATGCTTCTTTGTTTAACATTTTATAAATATAAGCATCGCTTTTATAATTGAAAATAAAAACTATAAGGAAAGACAAAAATGCCACATATACTCTTAAGAGTTTGTTTCTAAAAAGTTCCATCTTTGATTCTTATAAAAAACTAAAACAAGATAATTTTACTTATTGTTAAATATCTCTAGGCATCATTTAGAGAGAGCCAAATAATAATGTAGTAGAATGCTATTTTACTATACATACAATCTAAACTATAATCTTCTTTTCTCTATCACTCATGAAATCAAGACATGGTGCCATTTCAGATTTAAATGGATACAATTATTTAAAAAAAAACAACTTTGCTATCAACACAACTTATAAACACACATTTTCTATTACTATCATACTTTAAGTTCAGGAATACAGGTGCAGAACAGGCAGGTTTGTTACATAGGTATACACATGCCATGGTGGTTTACTGCACCCATCAACCTGTCATCTACATTAGGTATTTCTCCTAATGCTATCCCTCCCCTATCCCCCCAGCCCTCAACAGGCCCTGATGTGTGATGTTTCCCTCATTGTTCAACACCCTCTTATGAGTGAAAACATGTGGTGTTTGGTTTTCTGTTCTTGCGTTAGTTTGCTGAGAATGATGGTTTCCAGCTTCATCCATGTTCCTGCAAGGGACATGAACTCATTCTTTTTTATGGCTGCATAGCATTCCATGGTGTATATGTATCACATTTTCTTTACCCAGTCTAATACTGATGGGCACTTGGGTTCCAAGTCTTTGCTATTGTAAACAGTGCCACAATAAACATATGTGTGTATGTGTCTTTACAGCAGAATGATTTATAATCCTTTGTGTACATACTCAGTAATGGGAGTGCTCTGTCAAATGGTATTTCTGGTTCTAGACCCTTGAGGAATTGCTACACTGTCTTCCACAATGGTTGAACTAATTTACACTCTCACCAACAGTGTAAAAGCATTCCTATTTCTCCACATCCTCTCCAGCATCTGTTGTTTCCTAACTTTTTAATGATCACCATTCTAACTGGTGTGAGATGGTATATCATTGAAACTAAATATTTTCTTTTTGAGATGGAGTCTTGCTCTGTTGCCAGGCTGGAGTGCAGTGGTGTGATCTCAGCTCACTGCAACCTTTACCTCCTGGGTTGAAGCGATCCCCTGCCTCTCAGCCTCCTGAGTAGTCAGGACTACAGGTGTGCACCACCACACCCACTTAGTCTTTTGTATTTTAGTAGAGACGAGTTTTCACCATGTTTGCCAGGATGGTCTCAATCTCTTGACCTTGTGATCCACCTGCCTTGGCCTCCCAAAGTGCTGGGATTACAGCACGAGCTACCGCGCCTGGCCAAAAACGCATATTTTCAATAGTCAATAGACAAGAAGACTTTGAAAAGGGAAATGAAAAATAAATACAGAATATAGATACAGAAATATGTTATTCTTATAGTTATAAATATATATACTACAATGTGAATATCTTACAGGTTTACTACAATGTGGGAACACATTTTGAAAACTAATCAAGATTAAGACTGCTGTGATAGTAAAAGGACAATGGCATTTCTTCCAAAAAGAAGGTCACTATGAATTAAACAAACATTTCCTTTTTCAATATTTTAAGTTACAGGATTATAAGTTTATAAGAGCTACTCTACTATACCAATTTTCATATTTAATCGTAATCCTAGCAATTTTCACTGCTGAAATTCTTTATATAATTTAGATAACATATGTATTATTCATACTGTATCTCAAAGCAAAGGATTTTGCTTTGAAATGAGCGATCAGTTTGAGTCACTGTGGAAGAATTAACTTTGAGTATTCACTTTTCAAAATGAATAACCATATGAATTTTAGAATATATTCTAATTCTGTGAAAAATGACTGGTAGTTTGACAGGAATAGCGTTAAATCTGTAGATTGGCAATATGGCCATTTTAATGATATTGAATCTTCCAAACCTTGAGGATAGAATGTTTTTCCATTTGTTTGTATCATCATGTCATCTATGATTTCTTTCAGCAGTGTTTTGTAGTTCTCCTGTGGAGGTGGTTCACCTCCTTGGTTAGATGTATTCCTATACCGTTTTTTTGTGTGTGTGGCTATTGTAAATGGGATTACCTGCTTGATTTGGCTCTCAGCTTGAACATTATTGGCTTTTAGTAATGCTACTGATTTTTATACATTGATTTTGTATCCTGAAACTTTACAGAAGTTGTTTATCAGTTCTAGGAGCCTTATAATGGAGTCTTTAGGGTTTCCTAAGCAAAAGACATGAACAGGCACTTCTCAAAAGAAAACATATAAGCAGCCAACAAAGATGAAAAAATGCTCAACATCACTAATCATCAGAGAAATGCAAGTTAAAACCACAATGAGATACCCTCTCACACCAGTCAAAATGGCTATTATTAGAAGTCAAAAAGTAACAGATATGGGCAAGGCTGCAGAAAAAAGGGAATACTTATTCGCTGTTGGTGGGAATGTAAATTAGATCAGCCACTGCAGAAAGCAGTTTGGAGTTTTCTCAAAGAACTTCAAACTACCACTCAACCCGGTAATCTCATTCTGGGTATACACCCAAAAGGAAAATCATTCCATCAAAAAGACACATGCACTCATATGTTCTTCACAGCTCTATTCACAGTATCAAAGACAAGGAATCAACCCAGGTACCATCAGAGGCAAATTGGATAAAGACAATGTGGTACATATACCACCATGGAATACTATGCAGCAATAAAAAAGAACCAAATCCTGCCCTTTGCAGCAACATGGATGTAGCTGTAGGCCATTATCCTAAGTGAATTAACACAGGAACAAAAAACCAAATACTCTATGTTCTCATTTATAAGTGAGAACTAAGCATTGGGTATACATGAACATAAAGGTGGGAATAATAGACACGAGGAACTTTTAGAGTGGGGAGATGGCAAGGGCTGGAAAATCAGTGGTTGGGTACTATGCTCACTGCCTGAGTTACAGAATCATTCATACTCCTAAACTCAGCATCACACAATACATCCATGTAACAACCTACACATGTATGCCCTGAATCTAAAATAGAAGCTGAAATAAAATAAAAATAAAAATAAAAATGAATAGGTAAGTGTTCCAAGTGATCTCTGGAGAAAATGCAATTTAATCTCATAAAAGTTATATTTAAAAGAGAAAAGAATTATGAATTACAGGACATTCAGATAGTTGAAACTGGAATAAAAATGTACCGTTAACTGCTAAATTAATACCTTACTTAGAATAAATCAATTTTGTAAGATGTATTAACATTTTAAGGCCACTAGTATACTGCTTGGCCAACATACTTTAAAAAGGTAACACAGTTATCCATATAAATTAGTGTAGTCTCCAAAAATGTTACTCTTACTGTATACAGTTATCTACTTATCACCAGCAGAACCAACCTGAGAGTCCTTCGTAAATAACTGTAAGACTAAACAAGAACTAAAGGTGTTAATAAAAATATTTCTTTAAATAACTTTGCCTAGATAAAGAAATTACAAACTTTCCCTTATAAATAAGGGAAAATGTAAAAGGAAAATATAATATAAAGGAATAATAAAATGTAAAGGAAAAATAAAATGACAGCCATCCCCATTCACAAGTATTCAGAGAGCACTCACCATCCTATTCCTTGTCTTCAATCAGCATGGCAGGAAAAAAAAGGGTGGTAAAATTTTAATTTTTGAAACGTTACTTTTATGTGTATATGAAATGGTAATCTGTAGCACAGAAATTTAGAGAAATAAATGTTTTCTCTTCTTTTGGGCTATACATTTGTTCAACTTCCAATATTATCAATGATTTTTTGTAACCCATTAGATCTGTAAGTTCTAATTCTATAAAGTTTTTAGTTTTCTGTCAGAGCTTTACCAACTCCTGTTTCTCTAAGCACACTAAGTCAAATTTATCATATGAAAAGTGATATTAAACATCTCATACTTTTTGAATGTCAGAAGAACTGCCTTAAAAATAAAGAAACGAATAAAAATATTTATCGCAGCTTGCCAAGTTAATTTAAAAAAAACTAAAAATAACACTGAGTTTAAAAATAGTAAATATTAGCTAACATTATTACTACAATACTTATTTTAAAAAATAATTATTTACTCTATTTCCTCAAAAGAAATTAATTTAGGCAGTATTTTGTGAACTATTTTAACAAATAATAATTTAATAATTATAATTTTTATTCCTTTTATTCATGTTTAACAAACACATTAATGTTTATTATAGGCCATGAATTGTTCTAAGTACTTTATTACTAAATTATATTATTCTCTCCAAATATAGAAAGTTCCTAAACAAGTAGGTACCATGCCAATTATTTACTTGACTTTTATGACAACTGTGTTAGAATGGATAAAAAAAATTACTGCTTTCGAGTATGGAAAAGCATAATTTATATGGCAAAAGCACCATATAGTGCAAATGAAGAACAGGATCAAAAAATGCTACAAGGCTAACAAATATTTACCAATTTATTTGTTGCCTTGTGTTTGTTGTTTCATGTCTTTAGGGCTTAGGCCATTCTATAAATGCTGAACTTAATTAATGGGACAAATAATTTATTCTGGGTAAAAGGAGAAAAAGATACATATTTAACAGCAATCAACCACAGGTATCAAAAGTCTTACATTTTGAATTTTCTAGTTATCCCAGGGATACTACCTAAGTTCTAGAAATAAACTCCCACTCTCATAGCAGTTTTATCTAAAGAAAAAACTTCCATCTTTAAGATTAATATGAAAATAAACTTCAACTGTAAATAATTCAACATATGGCAAAGGTTTCAGAATTTTTATAAAGAGATGTTACAATTAATAAAAAACGTATACACAGCAAGAACAAATGAGCACAAGTTAGGAATAAGCAATTTACCCAAAAAGAAATTCTAAGACCAATAAACATGAAAAAAAGTTAATCCTTGCAATAATAAATTGCCAAGAGTTGACTGTTCTTGGAGACAAATTATGAAATGGGTTTAATCCAGTGAAATGAACACAGAATTAAAAAAAAAAAAAAAAAGAAACACCATTTCACCTATTAAACTAAAAAAGATTTTAAAAACAGTATGAGTGATTATTAAAGTTCTGGGAAATGAACACATTTCACATCCTGGAGTGAGGTACATGTTAATACAATTTTATGAGGGCAATTTATAAGCATGAATCAAAAATTTCAAGAAGTACACATACTTTATCAATTTTTTTCCTGAAATTTGTGCTAAGGAAAATCTGCAATGCACACAAACTAGTACACACACAAAAAAAAATTAAATGAAAAAGTAAGGAAAGAATTTAAAGTGCAGTTCTATGAGACTGTTTCAATAAATGATGGACTATCCACAAGATGTGAAAAACACAGTGATCCACTATGGTTCTACTGTGCAAAACAATATGCTGTGTATACATTTATTTGTTGCAATAAAAATATTCACAGAAAAACTGGAAAAACATACTGAACATCAAAACGGTATAAGAGTTATCACTTTAGCTGTGAAATTAGTGATTGTTTTTCAAATGTTGTGTTTTTTGCTTTCCATAGCTTTTTGATATCAGCCTTGTGTTACTTCTGTAATAAAAACAATCGTGTCTGTGTGTGTACTTTTTCTTTTTTTTTTTAATAAGCCTGCAGCACCCGGTATTCCCAGGAGGTCTCCCATCCAAGTACTAACCAGGCCCGACACTGCTTAGCTTCCAAGATCAGGCAAGATCGGGTGTGTGTGTACTTTCTACATAAAACAAACATGAAACACATGGCAAAATAGTATATCAAATTAATTCCTTAAAACAAATGGGTATAATAATAACACCAGTTTCATTTCCATTCAGACTTACTTTAGTTTCCCAAAGAGAAATCCTTGAACTTCATTTGCTTCAGTCTCATCCTCTACAGTAGTATTAGTCACAGCTACATTTTGGAAACAAAACCAAAATAAAACAAAAATATTTTCAGACTAGGAAAAGAACATGTAATCAAAAATCAGAAGAACTTGGCTGGGTACGGCAGCTCATGCCTGTAATCTCAGCACTTTGGGAGACTGAGGTGGACAAATCACTTGAGATCATGTGAGACCAGCTTGACCAACATGGATAAAGCTTGTCTCCACTAAAATTAGCCAGACGTGGTGGCATGTAGTCCCAGCTACTTGGAAGGCTGAGTCAGAATAGCTTGAGCCTGGGAGGCGGAGGTTGCAGTGGGCCGAGATCGTGCCACTGCACTCCAGCCTACGGGACAGAGTGAGATTCTCTCTCAAAGAAAAACAAAAAAAATTAGAACTCACAATGAAATGAAATTCCATTTGTTTTACCTTGTTTTTCCTTCATGGACCAGATTAATACATATATATGCATGTGTACAGGCTTACATTCCTGAGTGTGAGCTTTCTTTTTAAACACACTTGGATTGATTAAATACTTAGCAACCATAATAAAGTGCTTTATAGATTAGTTAAAAGCCAGGTTCTATTTTATCATCAGAAATGATAATCCGAAGGTCCTGCAACAAATGCTGGATTTAGCTTTTAAGTGAGACAGGAGATCCAAATCCTAAGTTTAAGTTTAAATGTAAGTTCCTGTGTATTTCCAACACCTTTAAAGATAATCAAGGAATCTTTAGAAAGACACCAAAACTCATGGCCTCAAAGAATAAAGATATAATATTTTATAATAGTCATTTCCCCTCTCCCTTACTTACCAAATAATTATACTATACAGTGTGGTTGGTAGAATATGTGAAGGGTGCTACAGGATTATAAGGATTGTGATCTCTTACAGTGTGTGGAGTGGCTCTGTATCAGAGTAAATTAGAGCTCAGCAATTATGCTCACCCTTCTTACTTTTCCAAAGCTCTGGATCTCTAGGACTACAAGTAGAAACAATCCTGATCATTTGATCTAGTCTTCTTTTTCCTCTTGTTTGTTCATTCATTCACTGGGCGAACATTTACTGACTGCTCACTATGAGGTGTCTCTGACAGGATAGACACCAGGAACAACAGAGACACAAAAGATACAAACCATGCTTGCTGGACAAGGAGAGAGACAAATACACAGACAACTTTAGTAGAGTGTGTAAACTTTTCTAAAAGAAGGCACAGAAAGATATGGTATATAGAAAAGAGAAGAGCATTCTCTAACAGAGCAGGAAGATAGGTAGCCATCTCAGAGGCACAGACTGATATATTTCAGTCTTAAAAGATGTGAAGTCTATAGATGAAATGAAAGAAGCCAAGACAGTGGTAGGCAGAAGGAATAGCATATGCTAAGGGATGAAAGTAGGAGAGGTCATGAAGACTTCCCATGGAGCCCATGCATAAAGGCATCCAGGGAACAGAAAACTATTCTAAACAGTAAATAATTTAGTGTTGCAGACAAGAGGAGACAAAGAGGAGAGGGCTGAAGGAGAGTAAAAAGAAAAAAAAAATGTGACTGTGAAAAGCTTTGTTTGCTATGTTCTTACACCTGAATTTATGAGATAGGTTAAGGGAGCCACTAAAGGATTTAACCAGTGGAATCAGTCTGATTTTCATCATCAGAAGTTCATTTGTAAAGTACTGGATATTAGATAAATCTGTTTTTAGGGGTGGTGAGATTGAGGGCATTGAAGACCAAAGATCAGAGAGATGGCTAGTTGAAGCTCTGATACATGTATACAGAGAGAAAAAAAGAGACCTGCACTAAGAGGCTGGTGACAGAATGCAGTGCATAATACAGATGACATTACAAGCACAAGAATAGCGAAAAATCCCTTAAATTACTATTGTGATTATAAGATACTAAATTATAAAGCATTGTAGAGCTATACATAAGCTATACAGAAATATATAAAATCGGAGTATTTTTATTATACTTTTTCAGTAACTCTTTAATCAAAAATATTTAAATTACAGTAATACAGATCTTTATTTGAAGCACATTCAGTTGGAAGAGCTAGAGAGAGGTCTGTGATAAAGGCAGGGCCTCTATATGAAAAACAAAATTGAAGCAGGAGCCTCATCTGAGTGCATACAAAAGAATAAACTTAAAATTCTCAGCCAAGAATCAAGCATAAATAAATTTGACCTGAACCAGGTAATAAACAACTTCCGTAAGTATTCTGAGAACTTCTTTAGTTTATTTAAGTCTCCAGAGTCTCTTCATCTACAGCATACATTTAGTTCATAGAATACAGATAGATATTGGTTGGTAGATCACAAACCTAATGAATCTACCTCATCTAAACAATTCACAGGCCTCTCTCATCCTGCTTCAGGAAAGGAAAAAAAAAAAAAAAAAAAAACTACCATCCTAATTTAATTATAAATATTTCAGACAAAACATCCTTACATGGGCCAGACCCAAATGCCTATGCCAGTCACCTCTAGCAATAATCAGCCTCATGTATTGCCTCAGTGTACCTTACATATATTATCAATTGTTATATGGTGCTGCAATGGTTGCGAACGCATCGGGTATAAGCAAAATAACATACAATTTCATATTTTGAAATAAATGTTGATTACCAGTAACATTAAATACATTTCTTTCAGCTTAAAATTTAATTCCAGGGGCCGGGCCTGGTGGCTCAAGCCTGTAATCCCAGCACTTTGGGAGGCCGAGGCGGGTGGATCACGAGGTCAGGAGATCAAGACCATCCTGGTCAACACAGTGAAACCCCGTCTCTACTAAAAATACAAAAAAAAA